GTGTCAGTCATCGATCATTTATGACAATAGCTGCTTTAAGTTCTCATTTTTTATGAAATTTAAATAACATATGTTTATGGAAAAAGGACGGAAAGTTTCAGAATCATGCAAAAAAGTGCTAAAGAATAGCAAGTAGTGACATACGCTGATTAATATTTATTGATACTTATGCATCTTACTGATTAACTGACATGCATTTATTCTATTATCTACAGTAGTATATATAAAATTTCATAAATAAAGTTAGAATGAAAAAAAGCTCGAATAAAAACTTATACAAAACACTTAAAATGAAACAGAATAAAATAGTTCAATATGTAATGATCACTTGAATATCTATTAAAATAAAAAAAAAGAAGCTATGTATACATCACAGCTAAAGAGAATACTATTGTTTATATATGTTGTATCCTTTCTAGCTATTTATAGAGATTGTTGCAGTTGATGATGATGAATTCGATGTAAAAAATCGAAATTGCCATTGCAAGCCGTTACTTCCCTTAGCAATTACTGCAGCGGGCTCAATAGGATTAGTTCTTGCCAAATTATCACTTTTTCGATGGATCTAAATGTGTAGGGTGTGGCTGTGTGGTGTAAATGTGGGTGTTCGGGTCTCGCTATGATTGTGGAGATCGCCGACCTGCACACATACACCCAAACCCACATCCACATCCGGTACGAGTCGTTCAAAGATGACGCAGTGTTTATAAATTTCTTGGTTGCATCTCTCAGATCGAGACGATCATTTAAACAACGCACTTCAAACTTGCAAACTCTGGAAATATATATGTTGCATTCTTTTTTAAAACAAAATTTATCATTAAATTTTTTATTAGGATTTGACGTTGATATATTATCGCTGTGTTTGTTTTTTGTATAAAGATTATCAATATTTCTAATTTTTTAATCGTGTAAACCTAATATCTTGATGCATACGATGAACAAGTTCATGTTATCCCTTCTGCTCAAATCAATCTCAAAATTAATGATTATTTGGACGAAATATGATCAATACAACTAATTCTGAATCAAATAACCAAAAATCAAAAAATTCTAAAGCGTCTAATGTATTTTCTTTTATCGTAAGTCTTTGTTTATATTTTTTCTGATCATTTTTCCATTTTAAGGTTACAACAGTCTAAATTTAATATATGATTTGACAGGTCCAGTTGCAGCATGTGTTATGAAATGTCTTATCAACCAATGGTTTAGCAAATGGGTAACGATTGATAGACATGACTCAATCAATGATGAAACAACAAAAATCAAAGACGAGAGATTGGTATCACAAAAATCATGTTATTTATTTGAACATTTTAAAGTCGCACTGTCGCTTTAGTTTTTGTAAAAATAAAATGAAAACACATGAAGAATTAAGAAATACCGACAGATTATAAAAGAGACTGAATGATATGATGTATACATTATTTCAAATGAACGTTTGTGATGCACGACGAACATCATGAAGAATACGTTTATAAACGATACTAAATATAAAAATTATTCAAACAATGTTTTTTAACACAACAACACTTACTAAATCAACTACTTCACTTGCTTGTCCATGTTTACAAATATATAAAGTCTTATTCCAATTTATAATGATTGGTTCAATCATAGTTTGATATAAAAAAGATTTAAATTTGTATGAAATTATCTAAAGAGAACGAATCAAGCATGTCATGTACCGACAGTTAAAAATTTGTCTAAAGTAGATTATTATCATTGCCATGCAGAAGATAAGTAAATCAGACAAGTGATTAACCGATATTTCTTAGACACATACATGTTTTTATACAGAAAGGGGAAAATAAAATAAACGCTAGATGTGATAAATAGAGAAATGCTTTCAATGAATGATATATTCAGAAGAACTGCATATTGTTCGATATCCCTGGTTTAGAAAGGATAAGATTATTATTCTGTATATGTATTTTTTTTACTAATATCCTCAACTGTTCATTATGATAGTTTAGGTGATAACTATGTCTCAGATGTTAGTCATGTAATCAATAATAATTAGTTGGTGGATTGGGATTCACTAGATCTTTAATAGAATCAATATATTGTTGAGTGATGACGGCTATTGAATGATCCATTCGAGGATCATTTTTCGATAACTCTCGTCATTTGAAAATCGATGGATCCAGTGAGCAACTATACTATATGAAACAACACCTTGTGCATAGGATAGGCAGCAGTTAATTCATCATGAATTTGTGTAGTTGTTAAACCTAATAACAAACGAGTTTTTATAGATAAGCGAAAACAAATTTTATCCATCTGAAAACGAATGTGTTGAAAAAATTCATCAAAGATTTGCCCTAATACAGACGTGTAAAACATCTTATTGGTATTTTAATACATAACAGATGTTGCTACCAAAGTAGGTCAATATTAGGAATAAAACCAATCAGGACGAAATTTGAATGTACTGTTACAAGAACTTTTTGACGATCCTATGCATTTGCACATGTTGCACCAAGAGCCCTTCAAGAGAGCCAATTTATGCACTCAACAATTGTCACGGTGAAAAATTATTTTATAAAGATTGATGGAAAAGAACCTGTTCTTTATGCTATACCATTTTCTAATAAAAGCTTTTATATTTTTGTCCATCTGATCGACTTAATGTGAGAGTAGAATCCTATGACTTACATCATGCACGGAATGATACACAAAAAGAATGTACACATGAATATACATCATTGTAAATGTTCTTCTTTCGTTTTTTTTTTGTATAGTTTTGTGGCTATCTACATTTTTTTCGTCGACTTCTTGTTAATTTATTTTAGAAAAGTGTAGAAATAATAGGTGTACTTGATAAACAAATTGAAAGAAATATATCTTAACAACTCCTAATAGTTGATGAACAGATCTAGATTTATTACGACGAAGTATGACGTGAAACTATAAATGGCGAACTTTATTAATTATTACTAGTAGTAATAGTGTATGGAACTTGCTTGATAATATTCTTGAATATAATCAATTATTGTGAAAGTGTCTTAATATGAATGATAGAAAGATATTATGAAAACTGCATCATTGCAGATGAATAACTGTTACATTTGTTTACATCAACATAATATGGCTTCAGCTCTCTTATCAAGGTGAGAAACTGGCGAGAATAAACTAACAGTCATCATTTTTATTGGTATGTCTTATGTCCAACTATAAGATTTAATATGTATATGTTAAGAACTTTTTTCTACAAGATCACATTTTTGACTTCACTGTTTTGTACTAGACGCTTCAAAGCAAAAATGAAGATCGGTTCAGTTTGGAAGTGCTGAGTCGAGTAACAAATCTCTTTATAAGACAATATTTTGAAAAGAGACGAGAAAAAAAAATAATTTCAGTTCGTGAAGAGATTTTCTCATGGAATGGATAAAACATACTATATTTCAATTTCGACAGTTTTTACTACTGGTATAATTCTTTAATACTCGAAATAAAATAAATATTATGAAAAGAAATTTGTAAGAGGGTCAAATATCAGTAATAAAAGACAAGTGTTGAGAAAGGTTTTAATTATATGACAGAAATGGATAGAAAATCTTCTATTGGAATAAAAATAAATATGAGAAATAAAGAAAGAACGAAAAAAAAAAAACAAAGGTTCTCATGTTTTATACCATAAAGCTATCAATATGCAAGAAAAATCAATGAACTTCAGAGCTAGTGGCATTTCTGATGTTTTGCGGATGATTCGAATATTTCTTCGTCTTCTACTACTGTTACAGTAGTTGTACGAATATTTTTTTTCGTAGTAATGTTATGAGTACGTTTTCTCTTTACGATTTTCGTCGATGTAGAAGAATTACTCGAATTCACACCACTATTACAGTTCGAAGAATTGAACTTTATCGAATGTTTTATAACATTGAGTTTTGTCTCAACCATTTTCATTTCATCAAGAAAATTGTGCATCTTAAAAAATGCCAATAATTGTTCATATCTTGTATGAATATTGAAATTGAGTAATGTATAAAGTTTTCGCAGATCAATTGGACATTCAAGTAGTGGTTGACCAAAATCTTCTTCTACAAATGTGTAGATAATAAAAAACGACAGGTGAGGATAAGAGTTCATTTTGGGTCACTAATATTATTGTACGTCAAAATTATAGAAAAAAAAACGACACTCCTTCGTTGTATATCTTTTTGAGCTCATTTCGAACGTTTTTCGAAGTCGAATGTATTGACTTTTAGGGTTCGAAGTCAGAAACTCGAAAACTCATCCATAATATTTTTGTGAAAGAACTATTTATTAGAAATAAAGCTAGATACAAACCACTATTCCAGTATGTCATAAGCTTCACTTTTGGAAAGATTTTTCTCGTTACATAAATGAGAATATAACAGATTTCAGTCATAGATAAATATTGGAAAAATCTATTGTCTTAGTATTTGTTCAGAGTAAAAAACTGAGAAACATCTAATAACTGAAAACAAATATTTTTCAATTTGTCAATATTTTGACATCTTTAATACTTGTCGTATCTTGAGAAAAATTATTTGCTAGTCACTGTAATGTTCATACATCGTTTTATTCAGAATTCGACGATGGTTCCAAGTCTGTTGTTATTTTCTTTTAAATGCTTGCGGATGAGGAGAAAAGCGCAAAACACTGGACGAATTCTGTACGTTCGTCAGCTTTTTTTCTGAACTAATACTAAGACAATGAATTTTTCCAATATTTATCTATGGCTGAAATCTGTTATATTGTCAAATATGCAATGAGAAAAGTCTTTCCTAAAGTAAAGTTAAAGCTATACCGAAAAAGTGGTTTGTATCTAGTTTTGTTCCCAATGAATAAATTTTTCAGAAATACTATTGATGAGTTTTCGAGTTTCTGACTTCGAACTATAAAAGTCAAGATATTCGACCTCGAAAAATGTCGAAAATGAGCTCAAGAGGTTATAAAATAAAGAAGTGTCGTTGTTTCTACAGTTTTGACGCAAAAAAATGATTAGTGGCCTAAAATGAGCACTTATTCTAACCCGGTCTTTGAAAGAAAACGTAACTGTAAGAAAAATTCTTACCTAAATCTCCACTTCCATTAATTAGACAAGAATAGAAAATGCAATGAGCGATTCCCAATAGATGACATATTTCATGTGTTAAAAGACGACAGGCTCTGAGTAATAACAAATTTCGTCGTTTAACAATTTGTTTCTCTGATTTAGTATCAGTTTTCAATATACAATCAAACCAATCTGATTCATTAAATGTTAAATGTGGATCATATCGATAGAGTGAAAATGCTGCCACACGACAATTGCCCATAGCTAAGCCAGCAATAAATAAATCTGTATCATCACCATAGAGATCATACATTGTTAATGCAACGAGACATCGAGCATCATCTGGCACAACTTTTTTCAATAGATTTAAAATTCCTGTAACACAAATTTGTGACTGTTTTCCTTCTTCATTATAACGTGTACGAAGATTGAAAATACGAGTTTTACCATTATTCAAACTCATTGTGCCTAGTTTTAAAATCAGATAAGAAATGAAATGCAAGAATTTGAGGTCAGAAGAACTTACATGTCCATTGATTTTTCTTATCATTCCATTCAACGTTAATGAATGGATTGATTAGTTTTACTTGCATTTGAAAAAAACGTTTAGTATAATCGATTAAACTGTCAATATCAAATATTGTATTGTCAACTTGTCCAAACAGTGTTAAATAAATTGATTTTCTATGAGAAGATAAGGGTGTATGAAGAGTTCGAGATAGCTGAAGAAATTCCATATAAGTTTGTCCTTTTTCTGCATACTGTGCAAGCCAATCCGATTCTTTCTTTGGTAAAGGTAGACTATCAAATGTTTTACAAAAATCTTCAGTAAAAACAGAATTTATGTTATTATCATCAAGTTTTCCTAAAGCATTTTCAATATCCAACTTTCTTGGTACTTTAAAACTACGAACAAACGACGGAGATTTTTGTTCAAATAGGATCGACATGAAATTGTGAAGAGAGAGAAACTAAATCTAAAAGACAAATATTGATGACATGATAGACAGTGGTAGAGGACTTCAATGACAAAAAAAGTCCCCAAAAAATAATTTTAAGGCAAGCTATTAATCAAATCACATCTTAAATGGATAAAGTCTACAAATAAACAGAATTTTCTCATAGAAAAAAAGAAATATCACTTTTCAGTGGACTGAGTAAAACTTGAGTAGAACAAGTAGAGTGAGCTCATTCCTTTTCACTTGCAAAATGTATCTGGCAAGGCTCCGAAGGGGACCGGACAGGAGGCAGAAATTCCTCCCTCGTAACGCTTTTCTAAAGGTCATTACGTTCCGTTCTGCAGAATCTTCATCGTAATAAAGTTGAGAAAAAAATTCTTTTAGAAAAGAAAACTGTAAAAAATATATTCGTGTATACATTGTCCTTTTTCTTAATAAATGTGTGAATTGAAACTGAAATAGTGTCCCACGGAACTGGGTATCCAAAACTTTCGTCCTGTGAAACATGACGAAATAATCCCGTCTCATCCGGAGTCGTGGCATTTAATTCGTTTACCTTCTCACCAGCTCGATCGACATTTTTCTCATAATGTGTCTACCAATTAGAAATCGTAATAATTTTAGGCAAACTTCAGTTAAGATTTCATTCCACCCAAATATATAAAGTTATTGTTCTTTTGAGTAAAAAGGATAAAACTGCCAATGAATGCACGTTGAAGTTTCACTTGGACCACAACACGAGCTTTCTACCTTTATTCAAAGTCATCATCAGAAGTAATTGACAGAAAAAGAATTATTTGCAACAACAAAATAGAAGATGAATAAAAAGAAAGAGAATGACGACTAGATTGTGCAACTTAATGCGTCATTTTCTTCCTTTCTGCTCTTTTTCTATTTGTTTTTATACATAAATTTTCTTTTGTCATTATTCAGCGGACCATCAGCAGAGCAGGGAGGTGTGGGTGTGCATGTGTGTAGCAAAGGTATACACCCACACTCTTTCCAACAGCTGAATTTGATTATTCATTTAGTTATAAATCACCAGCTTGATCTTATATTGGTACTCCACAACCATGACCATCATCATCATCATTGATGGAAACAATTAATAATAATAATGAACCATTATTTTTGATTGCAAGAAAATTTAAGGCATTAATTAAATTAAAATACTTTTGATTTTGTTAGAAAAAAATTTTCTAATGACTACATTTTTCTAGTTTATGTTACCAGCAGATTGAAAATTAAAACGTGAACAAATAACATCAATCAATTATGACGCACTTAGTCAATTTGATATTGAAGTATTCATGCAATCTTATCGAGCAAAAATGACTAAAGCATATAAAAAATCTCATATCTGTTTGCAAGAAAAATATTTATATATGTAGATTGTTGAGCAACGTAAACCTGATGAAGCTCGTCGGTGTGAACGAGCTCAACGTATGTAGACTGAATCAACTAAATTACTTAATATGGTTGGAATGATTTGTTCAAATTATTATATTTCTTCATGTTCGTAATTTTTTGCCTTTTAGTCGATTTCAATTGATTATTCAATGGATAATTTTGGACGTCATATTCAATATTATATAACAAAAGCTGAACAACAACAAGAAACATTATCTTGATCTTAGATAATCTTCTATTTTTATATTATTTGTATATATAAAATTTGATTAAACGTTTAGAAAGAAAAAAAAGAAGAAAAAAGATTATACTTGTTTTATTCTTGTTCATTTAATTGATGATTATTCTTTCTTTCTTCTTTTTAGAAGAGACGAAATATCGTTGTCAATGTATCTCTACATTGCTTTTGAAAAACCTAAATTAGTTACGGCTTATTGTTGATTTAATAGTTATACAATGCATGGTAAAAAAAATTTTTACAAAGTTTATTCCATTCTAATAAAAATGAAATAAATTTCATCTACAACAAATTAACTGTTGTTGCACATTATGATTTTATTGAGAAAGATTTTATTGTCTATGGTAAAGATCATGAAGTAAGAAATTATATTTTGCTTTACCAATCTTTATTCCTTTTCACCATAGAAGAATGAAATAATTGAATTAGTGATAAATTGGAATAACAGTGCAGTAGGTTATGACTTCAAAGATGATATTATCTCATTCTCACATCATTATTTTGAAGAGAGAGAGTGTGGATATGTGGATGGTTGTAAGGCTATGAGTATGTGTCGGTGTAGATGAATAGAAGACAGCATTCACATCCACTCCCTATCCATCTACACTAACACCCTTATTCTTTTCAAATAAACGTTTCTACTCAAACGAGCTGTTTTACTTTTATTATGAAGTTTTTTTGAATAATCTTTGTAGCGATCAATTTTCGATTATCCGACTTTGAAAAATTCATTCCGTTCATGAAATTTCGATCTTTCATGGATCAATTATATTTTTGTTCTTGGGTCCATTAATGTTGAACTCTCATAAGTAATTTTATTCTACAAAATCTATTTTCTATTGTATTTTTTGTTTCAAAAAGCTAAATGATGTTTAAATAAGTATGAATGAATCAAATATAGACAAAGTGATGAGAATAGTAAAAAAGAAAAATAAGTAGCTTGCTCAGAAAAGAAATATTAGAACTCAATTAACTAGGAATATGTGCGAAAACAATAATATCTTTTTCTCTTTAACAGTGTGAGTTAAATCGGAATGAAGGTTTTCTTATTCGTTTCTGTCTATGGACCCTATCATAGCCGTATAGACTTGTTAATATGCTGTTCTTGCGACTTACTCATGGATTGTGACAAACATGGCGCTAGGTATCCTTTACAATGAGAGCTGTTTTTTCACGCTTCACATTATAATACAATAGAAATTGTATTGAAGACGTTTGTTAATGCAAATAGTGAGTTTATGGAATGCTTGTGGGAGCATTAGGAATTTCTTGTTTATCTTTAATATGATAGAACGGTAGATCTATCATGCAAGAGCCTGAATATACAAGGCAAAACAGTCACTGAGCTGAACAAAAAAGAACATATTTTGTGAACGAATTATTGTTTTTAATATTCTTAGACAGAACCATAAATAAGATCAGGAAATTTGTATTCAATCGTTTTTCTAAGAAATATTACTCTTAACAGAAATCCTTCAACAGAAGATTGAACTTAACACTGAATTTCAATTAACAATATTAATATGACTGTTCATAGTCTAACACCACTAATGTATCACCATTTGTTCAATAATATTCAAAATCCAATAAAAGTGAATGGATGATCACCAATAAATTTGCGGCATTAACCTAAACAGAGCTTCTCTGCGTTTCATTCTTCTCCATTTCATTTGCTACCGACATATCGATAAAAGAAAATGACAGTAGTTAACTCATGAGTTTAATGACACATGAATCTAATATAAAAATGTCAGCAAATAAATTTTTGCTGAAAGTCTAATTCATTTGCTATCAAGACTGAGTTCTCCATGTTTTCAAAGATATTCTCATGGTATATATTTGAGCTCATGCTCGGAAAGAAGATAAAACTTTGTTTCTGAATCATATTTTTTTCGCCGTTCAGATTATTTTAATGTAAATTAGAAACTATCGAAGTCCTCTCTTCAGAAACTTTCTTATGACCTGTTACTCTTATGTTTTTCGAATATAGACAGATGTGGGAAGAGAAAGAAAAACTTGTCGGATTATTATTGTAGAAAAAAATACTCAAATAAAATAACATTGAGCTTGAGGACTATTATTTTGTGGACTGTAGAAATCGAAATAGGTTATTCTTTCATGTAATCATATGAGAGTATATGAATGTAAATGTCCATAATGATAAATATCCAAGCACGACAAATAGTATAAAAGAGTCAGTAGTAATAAACGATCATTCAACCTGTAGAAGCTGATAAGAGAGGTTCTTTGCCATTCTCGCAATGGTCGTTAGTTTTGTCAGAAGGAGACGGTATTTTCCGCCAATAAAGGAGCGACCAGCTGAGAAGAGCAATAAAAATTGGTAATAAATGGCCCACATAGAACCAAAGTTCGTTTTCACTGATTGAAAAGAAAAGAGGGTGTGGGCTGTGGGTGCGAATGAAGGAGAGGGTAACACCCACACCCACCCGCCCACCCACACCCACACACACCCACACCCTCCATTAATTGTTCGATTAGCTACAGAAGCAATTATTTTGGTTAGAGAAGATAATGATGAGCAATTAAATACTTCAAGAATATAAATGTAAAATTTTTTTTTCAAATTATATATTATTGTGTATTTTTAAGAGACAAAAAAAAGAAAAACTAAATAAATAATTTCGTAGCCTTTGCAATCGGATGATTCGTTTTATAGCTCGTGTCAGTTCACAATGGCATTATTAAAAATAGACTTTCTTTTTTTTTTAACAAAAAAGGATTTCTATATGATGGAACTTCGCAATTACTACAATCGTTTATTAGAAAATTTGAAAAAGTTGAATGTCATTTTAATTACGAGTTAAATAAGGTTGGATGAGTTTAATGTTGAAATAAACATTATAGGAGATAAGTAGAATTTTTTATGAAATGAAAAAACTCAAAATCATTCATGCATACTTCAACTTCTGGAAGACTAACATTTATTAATATATGCTTTTATGAATAAAATGTCTGTTGATTAATATTAAAGATTCAAAAAGGTTACTATTTTTAGTTGCAATATTAATTTTTATATACGGTAAATACTTTTCCACTTTAGTAAAACTCATGCCACTTATTGCGCAGTTGATATTGTGCTTGTTTTTGTATGTAATTGATTGACAAATGTCATTTAATTGAATAAATATTCTGCTTTTCTATTTACTGGTCAAATAAAACTGTGAAAATATTCGTCTAATGGAGATTCTTGTTTGTTATCAGTTAAAGAGTAAAATCCAAGTAAGAAAATTTGATGAAATACCAGCGGTACAAATCGATTAAAATGATTGTATTTAATTCTGATTTTTAAGTTTTGAATGTAGATTTCCATTGATTTTAGTCT